TCACAATTATACTTCAGAACTTCTACAGTCATCTCTTGGTGATTGGCAAAATAAGCAGACAGGATATTAGCAAGATAAACAATACCACCAACCAACCAGACACACAAATATGGTGAAATGATTTGGGGCAAAGATAGAAATGCAGTTCAACAGAGAAAGGACTGTCTTTTCAGCAAATGGTGCTGGAAAAACGGGATATCCTATGCAAAAACAAACAAACAAACAAACAAAAAACCCTCTACCTAAACAAAAAGGAACACAAGATGGATCAAAGGTCTAAATGTGAAATGTAAAACAATAAAACTCTTAGAAGAAAATAGAGAACTTCTTGGGACTCCCCTGGTGATCCACTGGCTAAGACTCTGTGCTCCAAATGCAGGGTGCCCAGGTTCGAGCCCTAGTCAGGGAATTTGATTCCATATGCTGCAACTAAGAGTTCACATGCCACAACTAAAAATAGATTCAGTGTGTGCAATTAAGGCCTACCACAGCTGAATACATAAATAAATAAATAATAGGGCCCCTAAGTTTTGGACACAACTGAGGGACTGAACACACACAGAGAAGAGAACTTCTTTGTGGCCTTGGGTCTGGCAAAGGGTTCTTGGTGACAGCAGTAAAAGCATGACCTGTGAAGGGGGGAAAAACCGATAAATTGAGCATCATCAAAATGAAGCACAAAGGACATAGCTAAGATAAGGAAAAGCCAAACCACAAGCTGAAAAAGAAATTTCAAAGCCCACACCCCATAAAATGACTTGTATCCAGAATATACAAAGAATTCTCAAGACATAATAATAGGAAAACAAGCCCCCTGGCAAAATATTTGAACAAATGCTTCACCAAGAAAGATTCATGGATATATAAGCACATAAGCAGATGCAAAGATGTTCAATGTCATTAGCTGATCAGGGAGACGCAGATTAAAATCCACAATGAGAAAAAAAAATTAAAATAAAAAAAATAAAATCCACAATGAGGTACCATTACACGCATCTTTGTTGTTCAGTCGCTCAGTCATGTCCTACTCTTTGTGACCCTATGGACTGCAGCACGCCAGGCTTCCCTGTCCTTCACCATCTCCTGGAGCTTGCTCAAACTCATGTCTATTGAGTCAGTGATGCCATTCAACCATCTCATCCTCTGTCGTCCCCTTCTCCTCCTGCCTTCAATGTTTCCTATCATCAGGGTCTTTTCTAATGAGTCGGCTCTTCGCATCAGGTGGCCAAAATATTAGAGCTTCAGTTTTAACATCAGTCCTTCTAATGAATATTCAGGATTGATTCCTTTAGGATTGACTGGTTTGATCTCCTTGCAGTCCAAGGGACTCTCAAGAGTCTTCTCCAACACCACAGCTCAAAAGCATCAATTCTTTGGTATTCAGCATTCTTTATGGTCCAACTCTCACATCCATATGTGACTACTGGAAAAACCATAGCTTTGACTATATGGACCTTTGTTGGCAAAGTAATGTCTCTGCTTTTTAATACACTGTTGAGGTTGGTCATAGCTTTTCTTCCAAGGAGCAAGGGTCTTTTAATTTTGTGTCTGCAATCACCATCTGCAGTGATTTTGGAGTCCAAGAAAATAAAGCATCTTAGAATGGCTGAAAAAAAAAAAATTGGACAATACCCAGTACTGATGAGGATGTGGAAAAACAGGAACTCTCAGGTGTTGGCGGTGGGGATGAAAAACAGCACAGCCACGTTGGAAAACCAGCCATTTCTTACAAAGTTACACGTACAATTACCCTATAACTCAAGCAGCCTGCTTCTAAGAATTTATCCTAGAGAAATGAACACTGATGATATTATAATATGTTTATAGCAGCACTGTTCACAATTGCCCCAAACTGGGAGCAAGTCAGATGGCCCTCTACAGGTGAATGGATAAAGGGTGATGAGCCCACACAAAGGAAAAGTATTGGACAGTTCAAAGGAAAGGGCTCCTGACACACCCAACTGCATGGACAAGTCTCAGATGCTAAGTGAAAGAAGCCAATCTCAAAAGCTACACAAAGCTTCTGTTTATATGACATTCTCAAAAAGATTTTTACAAAAACAGGGACTTCCCTGGTGGTCCAGTGGCTAAGACTCCACGCTCCCAATGCAGGGGGCCTGGGTTTGATCCCTGGTCAGGGAACTATATCCCACATTCTGGTACAGCCAAATAAATAAAAATAAATAAATAGATTCAAAAAACCATAGCAATGAAAAGCAGATCCAAAAAAAAAGCAGATCCACGGTTTCCAGGGGTGAGGGCTGGGGTGAGCGTCTGGCTACAAAGCAGTATCTGGAGGAGGTTCTTCAGGTAGCAGAACCATGTTCTGTCAACTGTACATTTGTTAAAACTTAGAACCCTACACCAAAGAAAGTGTCTACCAAGCCACATAAATTGAAAAAATGAAAAGCAAAATAAATCTTATAACCAAAAAGTACCCCCCAAACGCAGATGTACCATAGAAATGGCTGTAGTGCTGATTACCTGGCCAGAGGAGGGGGTGGGAGGCTGTTCATGTAGGAAAGAGCATGTGGGGGCCCTCACGGGGCTGATGACACCCTGAATCTTGGCCGGTGGGGATCACATGGGTGTTGGTTTCACAGGAAATGATTAGGTTAATATATTTTGATGTTCTCTGTGTTTTCCATATGTGTTTGCATTTAAAGAATTATTATTATTTATATTAATATTATTTGGCAGCCCCGTGGTATCTTAGTTCCCTAACCTGGGACCAAAACCCACCGTCCTCTGTTTTGGCAATGTGGAGTCTTAACCACCCAACCACCAGGGAAGTCCATATTTGTGTATATGCACAGAGCTCACCTGTTTTTCCTGCATCAACTAATAGGTGAAAGTTGTCCCACCGGGAAGGGAGGAAGCAACCTTTTCCTGTTTGGGGAACTGAGAAGATTTGCTGTGAGGCTAGAGAAATTCACAGAATCTGGGCCCTGGAGCAAAAGGAACCAAGGCACTGCTTGTTTTTTCTCAGGAGGTCAGCGGGAGCCAAGGAAGGTATTAGACCAGTGCCTACCGCCCTGGCCCCGTGTCACATGCTGAAGGCCTGGTATCCTTTGGGAAATAGTCAGCGGGGTGGCCCCAGGGGCTCCCCGCCTCGCCCCACCATCCGCTCTCCATCCTGTGACTCAGCCTGGCTTCCCAGTTTTGCCAAGCTGGTCACCTCTGTTCTCTCCGCCCGACTCTGCATGGCCCAGACTCGTTTCTGTTTTTCTTCACCTGCCTGGGAGCAAGAAGTTACCCAGACCTCGGGGCCCCAGGGAGCATCCCCTCCCCATGGCCATCCGGTCACGGGGCGGGGACAGAGGTAGGCAGGGCAGCGCCTGCCGGGCCCCAGTGACCCAAGGGGGCCCCTATCGAACTTCCCATCTGCCAGTCGTTATGAATCAACAGCAAGAAAACCACACCGGTCGTGGCTAGGGTGTGGTGGAGGGAGACGGTTGCCGCTGTGTCCCAAGTGCAGCACGCATCCTTTCTGGGTCTCACCAGCACCTCTGGGAGGGGTCCGGAGGCTGCAGGATTCTGTGTATCTCTGGGGAGAGGGGTGTTTGGGAACTTTCTAGAATTTTCTAGAACCTCTCCAAGAGCGTTCTGCTTCCAAACAGAGCAAAGTACCGAACTGGAGGCAGTCAGTGGGGACCCAGCCACAATTCACCCTCTGGTTCCCCTCTACTTCTGGAGACCTGAGGGCTGAGGGGTCTGGGCATGGTGACCTCTTGGCTTTTTTGGGAGCAGCTTCCACTCCCAAGATTCTCACTACGGCCAGGCTCCCTGTCCGGCTTCTCGTCCTGGTCCCAAAGGTTGTCTTGTCAGGGTGACCTTCTTTGCCTCCCCCCCCCCCCCCCCCCGCTCCATGTTTCAAGTCACAAATGAGCCCCCTTACATCCCCCATACCCCTCCCTGGGCTTTATTTTCCTCTCACACACACTTTATCACCATCTGATAGGCTCGGATATACATATATTTAAGGTATTTATCTGTCAAGGGTATCACGCAGGGAGGTAGCGGGGAGTTTGACATTTCAGACTCTTCTTTGAGTAGACTGCCTGCCCCATAGGAGGCGCCACATACATATTTGCAGGGAGAATGAATGGTCCTGGCTCTAAAGCTGCTGGCTCTGCATTGAAAGCCTGAGGCCCCACGGGTGGGAGAGCCTCCCCCAGGAGTCATGCCTGGTTGTACCTCCGTGTCCCCATCTGTGCAGGGGGCTGGCAAGGAACTTGGGGGTGCTGTCTGCGTGAAACCCACTTCCCCCAATACACAAAAGCGCTTAAAGCAGTATGTGCCCCTGGGCCTTGGATGTTTTTTTTTTTTTTGGATGTTCTTTTAAAAAAACATCAGGATGGGGGACTTCCCTTGTCAGTCCAGTGGTTAAGACTCCAGGCTTCCAATGCAGGGGCACAGATTTGATCCTTGGTGGGGGAACTAAAATTCCACATGTTTCTCAGGATGGCCAAAAAGTTATTACAAAAATAATAAAGATGGTGATAGGTATTCTGAGGATTGCCTCTAATTGGCCCAGAGGAAGGGAAGAGGGGCGTGGGCCAGGGCGGGCGTCAGAGGCCCAGGGAGGACGGAGAACCGGGTCCACCCCTTCTCCAGAATGAGGAAGGAGGCCCAGCGTGCACCCAGGCGGCTGGCCTTTCCTCCCCGGCCCGCCCTCCCCCGAGGCGCCCACCTCATCTCTGAGCTCTTCTGCCGTCAACCTGTCTGGCCCGGCCAGGCAGGTCTGGGGATGGGCGGGGAGCCCTGAGCCAGCATCTTTTCTCCTCCTCCACCCCGGAGCTGGCAGGCAGGCCTAGAGAAGCTGAGCCACCCGGTAACCCAGGCCAGGAAGCCAGGGGGTCCCTGGGGGGGGGTGACCCCCACGACGAGGGAGGCCCTTCCCGCCGGCTGCCAGGAGCCCTCCCCAGAGCGGCCGGGCTGGGGTTCCTCCCGAGGCGGGGGCAGGGGCGATGCCGCCTCGTGCCCACTGAGGCCCCACCATGGCCCGCTCGCTCACCTGGCGCTGCTGTCCCTGGTGTCTGACTGAGGACGAGAAGTCGGCAGCCCGGATCGACCAGGAAATCAACAAGATCCTCCTGGAGCAGAAGAAGCGCGACCGAGGGGAGCTGAAACTGCTGCTTCTGGGTGAGTTGGAGGCCACCCAGGGCGGGGCAGCCTGGGAGCCCACTTTCAGGATGAGTCTGAGGCTCGGTTCCTCCTCCCAGGGAGTGAGCTGTGAGCCCGTTTCCCTGGCCCAGCCACCTCCCAGGCATCTGCAGGGGTGGAGGTGGCTCAGTTGGGTGGCCCGATTCCAGCCTCCTGGCTGGCCCAGCCCGCCCTACAGGCTCCCAAGTCATGAGAAGGGAATGAGCTGCCTAATGCTGGGACCTCCAGCCTAGCCCTGGGACCGTGGAGAGTCCAGGGCCCTTCCATCCCTCTGAGGGCTTGACCTGGGTTTGTTCTGGTGGTTTATCAGGACAAGTCCTGTGGGCAAAGCGTGGCCAAGCACCTTTGATTGATTGATTAATTGATGGATCAGTTCATTCATTCAAGATGTACTGCATAATTCCTGGAGGTGGGGTGCAATAGCAGGGGAGATGGAACGTTGTGTGTCCCTGACTTTAAGGACCTCAGCTTCTGGTGACGGAGCCAGACCATAAGCCCGTAAACTAACAAGGAGATAAAATAATTTCCGGCAGCAAGAAGAGGAGGTCAACAAAACCCTGTGAGGGAGTTGGGGTGATTCAGGTGTGATGGATTGCAAGGCTCCGAAGTTGTGACCTGTGAGACCTCACATCTTATGGTCCACATGTGTCCACTCCCCCAGCCACTTTGCCCTGTGTGTGGCCCCGCAGGCCTAAGCCCAGGGACCCCAACCTTGAAGGGTCTCCTGGGAATGCCTGAGTCCTGGACGAGGGCTGGGGAAGGCCCTGAGTTCCCAAAATCCCACCTGCCTGCCCTGGGACAAAAGGCAGGGCTTGGTCATCTGGATAGCTGCCCTGTCTTTTCTCCTGCTCAGTGGGAAAGGGCAGCCCTCAGGGGTGGAAAGAGAGGAGAAAGTGGGGCACAGGACCCCAGTGAAGCCATCTAAGCCTGGAAGGGGTTTTTATTTTGTTGTTTTGTTTTTTTTGGCCTTGCCCCACATGGCATGTGGGCTCTTAGTTCCCTGGCCAGGGATTCAATCTATGGTCCCTGCTGTAGAATCTCAGAGTCTTCCTTTGGAAGTCACAGGAAAGTTTTAATTAAGACTTAAATAGCTATCTCTATTCACTTTCTGTAATAACTAGGCTTTTATATATGATATGGTATCTACTATTTTTTTAATAAATAGGGCTACGTAGGCTATTCTTTTTTGAGCTTTGGTTATTGGTATCTTCCAAAGAATTTGGCTCTTTGAAGTTTTCAAGTGTACAGACATAAGATTGTTTCTAACATTCCCCTGTCATCCTTTCATGTCTGTAGGATTTGTAGTGATGTCTCTTTTTCATTCTTTGTCTTCTCTCCCTTTTGGGGAAGCTAGGAGCTCAGGTGGTTTGCCAGTGTTAGTGATCCTTCCTTGCACATCTCAGGTTTCTCTAACCATACCTCAGGACCTCTGCACTTGCCGTTCTCCCTGCCAAGGGCTGTCAGCATCCCCGCAAGCCTTTGCCTGGCTGGTGTGTCTCAGTTCAAGTGTCACCTCCTCAGAGACGTGTTCCCTGATTTCTCTGGTTTCAAAGTCAGACCTGTCCTTCTTCCTCTGCACAATTTTTCTTCTGCACTCACTTCATGACACTCTTTCCAGTGTTTTTTGTTTCCTTGTTCACTGTCTGTCTCTCCAGTTACACAATAAGCAACAGAGAGGTAGAGACCATGTCCATCTTATTCACTCTTGTGTCCCCGGCATTATTTCAGGAGTACAGAGACCTGATCATGAGGGTATGCCTGATGCATGCTTTATAAATGAGTGAGTGAATGAATGAATCCAGTTTCTGGGGTGATTTTCCCCAGAGTTATACTGTATCTTCCTAGAGCTGACAGAGTCCTTTACTCCACTGACTACTGGACAGCCAGCCCCAAATCAGGAAGCCACTTCTGCTCATTGCGGGGGGGAGGGGAGAAGGGATGTTGTCCACGTGTCCAAGCACTGATGTGGCCCTGTGGACAGCCTGCTGGACTGTGGTTTCAACCACCCCCATCCAAGCCCCAAGGGCTGCCTCCACACCTGCCCTCCTTCTTAAAAACAGGAATTGAATTCAAAAGTTTTTTGTTTTCTTCTGGGAGGTGGTCGATCCTTTTGAGGAAGAAGCCCAAGGGACCAGGGGTCTGTCCCTGGTAGGAAGTAGTCACCACATTGAGAAGGGGAAGAGTCTGAATAAAACAATTAAAGGAGCCATCTCTGGGACTTCCCCGGTGGTCCAGTGGTCAAGACTCCAAGCTTCCATGGCAGGGGTGCAGGTTTGACCCCTTTTTGTGGAACTAAGATCTTGCCTGCCGTGCAGTGCGCCCCCCTCCAATAATAATAAAGAAGACAGCTCTGTCTGTACTATGTGAGGTGGGAACCATTCCTATCCCAGATGGGGAAACCAAGGCCCAGAGAGGTGAAGCGACTCGCCCAAAGTCACAGAGCCAGGACTGGAGCCTAGAATTCCGGTTCCAAAGTCCATGATCTTGACTGCCCTGTGAATGTGCTTCCACAGAACCCCAGTGACAGATGGGGAAACTGAGGCCCAGGGAGGTGGCAGGATTGGGTCTGGGGACTGTAGCCGGTTTGGAGGCAGAGCTGGGCATGGAAGCTGGGCTGTGTGGTCTCCAGCTGCCCGTGCCTGACTCCCAGTGCCCCAGGAGCCCCGTCTCCCGGGAGTGGAGGTGGGGTGGGGGCTGCAGTTCCCCATGGAAGGAGCCACCCAGTGTCTCGTGATGCCTGGGACTTGGCGCAGCTCCTGGCCTCTGCATTTCCACTTCCTCCCCCGTGCCCAGGAGGAAGCGGCCACTTCCCGTCTGGGTTGCGAGGCTGTGCCAAGTGGAGACAGCTCTCCTACATCTTCCAGCGTCATTTGGGGAGCTTCCTGAACCACACCGTGAGAGGCTCCTGAATCCTCAGTGGTTCCAGGAGTCATGGCTGCAAAGGCGAAGTGTTTCCCTTCAAGCTGGGACTCACACGTGAGTCATGAAACCCAAGTTGTGGGTGGCAACCAGGATTTTTTTTTTCTTTAATGAAACAGTGCATCCCAACAAAATTAACTGTTGCTTGGTGAGATCTATGTTTGTGCTCCCAGAGGAGCAGCCCAGAGGAAGGTCAAAGAATGCAGTCCCCTGCCGTAGGTCTCACTGCCATTTTGGCAGTACCCAGAGGAGACGATGAGCTTCCGAGTGTGTGGAGAAAAATCCTATTAACTGATATTTTGATGATGCCTGACTCAGCCTAGCGGCCACGTCCTATTTTGCTGGTGAAGGATCCACAAGGGCTTGTTTTTACTCCTCTGCTTCTCCATTAGCTGTGTGACCTTGGGAAAGTCACTGCACCTCTCTGAGCCCCCACATCTCCACTGTGAATGGGAACACAGCGGGAATGTTTGTGAGGTTCCACCAAGGTCAGTCAGAGAGGACCTGGGCTCAGGGCCTGGCAGATGCTAAGACTTAAATCATTGTCACTGGGAAGACACGGATGATGACAATGATTCAAGCAGCACCTGGGGAACTTCCCAGAATGATCATGAAAGAGCCCAAGAACTCTGGACTCAAAACTGGGTTTTAGTCCCAGTCTGGCCACTCACCAACTGCAGGACCCAACCAATCTGGGACTCAGTTTTTCCACCTGAAAAGTGGAACCAAGGGCCATTCTTCTTGTGGGCTTGGGGGAGCTGGTGCATGGACCCCCCACCACACTGGGAGGGTGAGGTCAGGGGGGCGGAACTCACAGCCACCTCTGCCATCTCCAAATCACAGAAGCATCGGAGACCAGCCTATCTCGGACTTCCCAGGTAGTACAGTGGTTAGGACTCCTTGCTTCCATTGCAGGGGGTGCAGGGTCAATCCCTGGTTGGAGAACTAAGGTCCCACATGCCACGTGATGTGGCCAAATAAATAAATAAACAGAGCTGTTAAAAAACAGAGACCAGCCCATCTCCCCAGGTTTCCCAGTGGGAGGTGAGGTTGTGGGTTTATCTCACCAACTGTGATAGTCAGATGTCCCACTGCAGGAATGTGAGTTTGATGTATCTCTGTCCTGAAGCCCAAGGAATTTCAGAATCTGAGACAGGTGGCTCCATACTGAAGGGGTGGTGTCTGTTTGTTGTTAATTTGTTTATAGTAAACATTTTATTTATTTAATTGTTGGCCATGCGGGATCTTAGTTCTTCATCCAGGGATCGAACCCATGCCCCCTGCATTGAAAGCACGGAATCTTAACTACTGGACCACCAGGGAAGTCCTGGAAACTTTTTATTTTGGAATCACTTTCAATGGACAAAAACGTGGCAAAGACTGCACAGAGAATTCCTGACTTCTGAACCACTTCCTCTATGATGACTTCTTACATAAGTGCTGTGGGCTGTCATAGCTGAGATGTTAACATGGGAACTGTACCCTTATGTTTCTATGAACTCAAATCCAAAGTTTAGATTTCACTGGTTTTTCCACAAAGGACCTTTTTCTGTTTCAGCCTCCAACACAGTATCTCACCTGGCTTTTGAGGGGTTTCCCCCCAATTTCTTAACTTTACATTTTGAAATACTTTCAGAGTTCTAGAAAAGTTGTACTGGATCCTTCTGAAAGTGTTAATATTTTATCTCATGGCCTTTATTCCCTCTCCAAACATACGTGTGTGTATATTTGTAATTTACATAATGTATGTCTGTAGCTTACTTGCTATATATTTATTTTTAAAAATGAAATTGCATTTAAAAATATTTATTTATTTGGCTGCTCTGGGTCTTAGTTGCAGCATACAGAATCTTTAGTTGCAGCATCAGATCATTTAGTTTTGGCATGTGGGATCTAGTTCCCTGACCAGGGATTGAACCCAGGACCCCTGCATTGTGAGTGCAGAGTCTTAGCCACTGGACCACCAGAGAAGTCCCACTTTGCTATACATTTGTATATTTAGTACAGATATATTCATTGTTTTTTGATCCATTTGTGAATACAGTTGCAGCCCTGATATTTTTAAAAATTTTATTTATTTTTAATTGGAGGATAATTACTTTTCACCTTTTTATCCCCCAAATACTTCCATGGGTTTGGGTCTCACTAAAAAGCAAAGACTCCCAAGACGATGATGAGTGGCCAATGCATGTGATACAGTCTTGTCTCCATCACGTCTGTCCCACCAGTGTTTCCAGTTTCCCCATGAATGTCCTTTAGGATAACAGAAAAGTGACTCTTTTTCTTGGACCTCAAGTGTAGTGGTGTCACCAGCTCACCCTTCACTGCCCTCAAATGTGCTGGGGGTGGGGAGGGACTGGAGCCCCCCCACGGGTGATACAAGAGAGCACTCCCTCTTCTGCCACTTCACACACTCCCTGCCTCCTCCCTACTATGTTCCCACTGCTCCAGGTTCCTCTTTCTGGCTCCAGCCAGGCTACCCCTTCCCTTTCTGCGGCTGGTCTCAGTTCCTCCTGCACGAGTGCCCCCCGCCCTTGGAGGCACCCCATGCCAGGGTCCCCCAGGGGCTGGCAGGGTGATGGAGGTGTTGGAGGAGGCTTCCTGGCCATGTACCTCTCACCTGGATGTCAAGCCCATTTCACGGATGAGAAAACAAAGACTCCAAGAGGGAGATATCGGGGCTCAGACAGCAGCGAGCCAGGCCTTCCTCTTTGAGTTCCTAGTCCTGGGCTCTGCAAGGTTCTAGTGTTAATATCACAGACCCACATCTGGCTTTTGGGCCGTGCAACCCTGCACTCAGAAGGGCCCGAAGGTCCATCCTGCACTTGGCCCTGGAAATTCTGTAGATGAGCCTGCAAGGACCCTCATCCCACCCTGTTCCACTGTGAGGTTGTGTGGGTTCTGTCTCCCAAGTATCTCATGTGAATGTGCCCTTCTCTCTCACTCCACGTGGCCACCTGGGTCAGCCTGAACCATCTGGCTGGTGGGAAGTCCTCCCTGCAGTAACCAGAGGGCACCTGTGGGCACCTGAGTCAGGCCCCGCACCTCCTCTGCCCACAGCCTTCCAGGCTTCCACCTCCCTGAGGGTAAAAGCCCAAGTTCTCCTGCAGCCCACAAGCCTCTGCATGACCCGCCCTGTCCCCTCCCTGCCCTCCCCTCCTCCCGCCCCCTCACTCACTCTGCTCCAGCCACAGGGGTCTCCCAGCTGTTTGTCAAACACATCAGGTACAGTCCTGCCCCAGGGTCTTTGCACATGCTGTGTCCGCTGCCTGATGCTCACTTTCCCCACATCTTGGCCCGGGAGCAACCTTCTCAGCCTTCAGATCTCAACCCCAATGTCACCTCCACTGAGAAGTGTTCCATGCACTTGGCTGTAGTAGTCACTCAATCACTCTATTTGTCCTATTGTATTTCCTTCATAAAACTTTCCCTACCTGAAATAATTATAGCAAATAATGATAGCAGTAATTATAATTATGGTAAAGACTACTACTGCTAATAGTAGTGAACACGAATGTAACTCTTACTGTATCAAAGCGCATTCTAAGCCAGGGGTCCACAGACTTTTTCTGTAAAGGGCCAGATAGAAAATCGTTTCGGGCTTCCCAGGTGGCTCAGTGGTAAAGAATCTCCCTGCCACATGGGAGACTTGGGTTCAATCCCTGGGTCGAGAGGATCCTCTAGAGAAGGAAATGGCAACCGACTCCAGTATTCTTGCCGGGAGAATCCCATGGACAGAGGAGCCTGGTGGGCGACAGTCCATGGGGTCTCTAAAGAGACAAGACTTAGCAACTAAACAGTGCGGAACAATAAATCTTCTCAGCTTTGCAAGCTGGAGGGTCTCTGACTACTCAACTGTGCTGCTGTCCCAAGAAACCAGACCTAGATAATTTATATACAACCAGGTGTGGCCATGTGCCAATTAAAACTTTAATTGCTGTGCTGTGCTTAGTCGTGTCCAACTTTTTGAGATCCCATGGACCGGAACCCACCAGCCTTCTCTGTCCATGGGGATTCTCCAGGCAAGAATACTGGAGTGCATTGCTATGCCCTTCTCCCGGGGAATCTTCCTGACCCAGGGATCAAACCCAGGTCTCCTGCATTGCAGGAGGATTCTTTACCATCTGAGCCATCAGAAAAGCTCATGAATACTGGAATGGGTAGCCTATCCTTTCTCCAGGGGATCTTCCCTACCCAGAAGTCAAACTGGGGTCTCCTGAGTTTCAGGTGGGTTCTTTACCAGCTGAGCTACCAGGGAAGCCCAGAACTTCATTTACTGACCCTGAAACCTGAATTTCATGTAATTTTCAGGTGTCATCAAACAGTGTCTAGATTCCTCTCAGCCATTTAAAAATGCAAAAACTAACCATTTAAAAGCTGTAAAAATTGTAATGGTGAAAATAACTAGAAATGTAAAAACCATGCAGACTGTAAAAATTTGCTGGCCATGCAAAAACAGGTGACTGTCAGGCATTCCCTGGAGGTCCAGTGGTTAGGACACACTTTCACTGCAGAGGGCCTGGTTGGATCCTTGGTTGGGGAGAACTGAGATCCCACAGGTTGTGCTGCTCAGCCAAAAACAAAAGCAAAATACAAACCAAACAAAAAACAGGGACTTCCCCGGGTATCTAATGGGTGAGACATGAAGCTCCCAATGCAGGGGGCCTGGGTTCGACTCCCGATCGGGGAACTAGATCCCCCAGTGCAGCCAAATAAATAATAACAATAAAACAGAAAACCAAATCAAACAAACAAAAATGGAACAAAAACAGGCGCCAACAAGCTTTGCCTGAGGGCCAGTGGTTTGCCGACCCTCTAGGACTACGTTTCCATGAACCAGTTTAACCCTCACATCCACCCAGCAAACCATGTTTTACAGGTGGAGACCCAAAGGCTTAGAGCCGTGAAGGCACCCACCCAGGGTCACGGAGCCGGAATTTGATCCCCATTGCCTGGGAGTGGCGGGTGCTAGGTGGCGGGAGCCCCTTGAGGGCTGAGCTGACCATGGTGGCCATCTCCCCAGGTCCCGGTGAGAGTGGAAAGAGCACATTTATCAAGCAGATGCGTATCATCCACGGGGCAGGCTACTCGGAGGAGGACTGCAAGAACTTCCGGCCCCTAGTCTACCAGAACATCTTCGTATCCATGAGGACCATGATCGAGGCTATGGAACGGCTACAGATCCCCTTCAGCTGGCCCGAGAGCAAGGTGAGCCCCGTGGGGAGGGGGCTCCCTTAGGGCTTCCAGGTGGGACCGCATCCCCTCAGATTGCCTAAGTTCTTAAGAACTGCCCCCTCCAAGGTTTCTTGAGATCCTGGTGTACATTTCAGGCAGCTTAGCACCAACTGGTGACTCAGTCGGTAAAGAATTCGCCTGCAATGCAGGAGACCCAGGTTCGATCCCTTTGTCTCGAAGATTCCCCCCACCCTCCGAGAAGGGCATGGCAACCCACTCCAGTATTCTTGCCTGGGAAATCTCACAGACAGAGGAGTCTGGTGAGCTACAGTCCATGGGGTCACAAAGAGCTGGACAGGGCTGAGAAACTAAACAGTTTCACCTTCAGCACCAGCATATACCCCCCCTTCAAGGGTTCCCCTGTGGACCCCCAGGGCACAGTCATCTCTCCCTTGCACCTTATGATGCCTGGTAGGAGTCCTGAGTGGGCATGTGTTTTGTTCTAGAAGTATTATTATGGTGGATTGGTTGCTGAGCCCTGTCCCACCCTGCTGAGGGGACAGTGCTATGCAGACCATGTGTCACATCACCCTTCTTTTTATATTTCATTGTTTTATTTTATTTTTGGCTGCACCAGATTGCATGTGGGATCTTAGTTCCCTGACCAGGGATCAAACTTGCACCTCCTGCATTGGAAGCAGGGAGTCTTAACCACTGGAACACCAGGGAAGTCTCCCCTCTTCTTTTTAAATATTTTATTGTATGAAGAGCGTTAGACATGAAATCTACTCTCTTAGCAAATTTTAAGTGCACAACACAGTATCAGTAACTGCAGATACAATGTCATAAAGAAAGAATTCTAGAAGGTGTTCCCCTTGCCTAAGGGAAACTTTATTCATATCAACACCCAACCCGTCCCCTCAGCCCATTCTATCCCCTGTGTCCGTGCACTTGCTGCTTCCAGATTCTTTGTGTAAGTAGAATCATGCAGGATCTGTCCTGTGACTGGCTTATCTCACTTAACATGATGTCCTCAAGGTTTATCTACATTGTCCCCTGTTGCAGAATTTACTTCTTTTTAAAGGCTGCATAGTAGTCCCTATATCTACATCCTTATTCATTCATCCATTGATGGACATTTAGGTTCTTTCCACATCTTGGCTACTGTAAACAATGCTGCAATGAGCCTGAAAGTGCAGATATCTTTTCAAGATCCTGATTTCATACCCAGGCGTGGAATTGCTGGATCATATGATAGCTCTATTTTTAAAAAACAAATTATTTGCTTATTTACTTTTTTGGCTGCTGCACGCAGCTTGTGAGATCTTAGTTCCCTGACCAGAAATTGAATCTGGACCCTCGGCAGTAAAAGTGTGGAATCCTAACCACTGGGCTGCCAGGGAATTCCTGGTGGCTCTATTTTTAATTTGGGGGGGGACCTCCAAACTGTTTTCCACAGTGGCTGTACCAGTTTACAGTCCCCCCAGCAGTGTATAAGGGTCCTGACCCCTAAGACCTCAGGGTTGGTTCCCTAAGAGTCTTCTCTCCTTAGCTCGTAGATGGCTGTCCTCTCTCTGTATCCTCACATGGCCATCCTTCTGTTGTGTTCGTGTCCCAATCTCTTCCAATAAGCGTACTAGTCACTCTGGACTACGGCCACCTTAATGATCTCATGGTAGCTTAATTACCTCTATAAAAAGATAATTCAAACATAAACAAGAGAGTGCCTGCTTCTGGTGCAAAGAAAAGCAGACGGATGGAGCAGAGGTTGCTGCCCTGCGCAGGGTCACCCGAACTGGCGCTCCTTCGCCAGCACCCCTGCTGCCCCTGCGGCCTACAGACATGCACCAAGGGGGCAGAGACGTCAGGAGGGCAGCCCCACACCCTGCCTACCCTGTCCGGCTGCTCTGACCCGCCCCGTCTGTCCCTTCCCAGCACCACGCCAGCGTGATCATGAGCCAGGACCCCTACAAGGTGACCAAATTCGAGAAGCGCCATGCCGTGGCCATGCAGTGGCTGTGGGAGGACGCCGGCATCCGCACCTGCTATGAGCGCCGGCGAGAGTTCCACCTGCTTGACTCGGCTGTGTAGTGAGTCTGGGGTCCAGGGGCCGGGTGAGGGGCCGGGGTCTGGGGCAGGAGGCTGTGCCTCTACACAGTCCGAGGAGACCCATTCCCAGGTACCCGAGCAGGCAGAGGGGCCCCAAGGCTGGCCGGGTTCCACTGCGGGGGTGCTGTGGGTGGTCTTGACTCCCAGGTAAGGGTGTTTCTGGGGTGACATTGCTCCGCAGGTGACCCAGTTCCTGGGGTGCACTGTTACTGGGGTGACCACTGCTCCTGGGGTGACAGAGCTCCTGGGGTGATGCAGTTTCTGGAGTGACATAGCTCTTGGGGTGATGTTTCTGGGGTGACACCGTTTCTGGCGTGAGACCATTTCTGGGGTGATGCTGTCCTGGGCTCAACGCTGGGCGTCTAGTTCTCAAGGATATCACTGCTCTTGTGGCAGTGACATATACCTGGGGTGACACCCTCCGCAGAGAGGCACACCGCCCTGAGGGTGACGCTGCTTCTCCCTGAGGCTCCCGTGGCCTCAGGCTATGCTCCTCAGCCACCTGGGACCCACAGAAATGCTGGCCCCTCTCTGGGGGCTCTCCTCCCCCAGCAGGGTCCTCATGGGGCCCTGAGTCAGGGGAAATCTGAGAAGCAAAGGGAGGTTGCAAGGCCAGCAGTCAGGGCTTCTGGCTCCACAGCTACCTGTCGAACCTGGACCGTATCACGGAAGAGGGCTACATCCCTACCGCACAGGACGTGCTCCGAAGCCGCATGCCCACCACCGGGATCAACGAGTACTGCTTCTCCGTGCAGAAAACCAACCTGCGGTGAGCACAGAGCTTGGAGGCTCTTGTAGGAGGGGCAAAGGAGCTGCAGCACTGAGGGCTGAGTAGGAGTTGTCTGTCCCAGCCCACAAAGGGCCTGTCAGGCTGGGGGAGGCAAAGCTGGGCATAGACATGTCCATCCCCCCCATGGAGTCAGGACTGGGACCTGGAAGGGCCCACACGGAGCCTCCAGAGTTCTGGGAGAGGAAGTCTTTCTGGAGGAGGAGGCATTGGTCTTAGGGCATTGAAGAATGATTAGGAGTTCACTAGAACTATGGGGTGATGGGAAGGTGGAAACAGAGACTGTGCAGTCAGGGCTAGATCAGAGGGATTGATTTGGGGCTGGGGAAGCTCAGAGGCTGATCCCTCTAGTGATCAATGAGGGGTTCATGCTGGGTGTCAGGAGACCCAGGAGGAGGCAGGAGCCATGGTCCAGGCAGACAGGGTTGGGAAAGGTCTGGGCAAGTGGCCATGAGGATGGAAATGAGGGAATGGTGCAAGAAATGTTTCTGATGTAGAATGGGTGAGCATGGGAAATAGAGCAAGCAGTCAAAAAAGACTCGCTGTGAGTTTCCCATCAAGATGATGGTGTAGATGGTAAAAACCACTGTGGTGGTGATAGAGTGGGAGATGTTAGAAAAGCCGATGGAGTTATTTGGGGCAGGTTGGGTCTGAGGAGTCTGGACCATCTGGGAGATGGCTGGGCGCAAACAGGCCTGAGCTGGAAGACAGAGAGGTGTGGGGGTCCAGTGCAGCCAAGAATGGTCCATGCAGAGCCATGGCCAGTGTCAAAGACCAAGAAAAGGTCAGAGGCACAAGCAACTTCTGGGAGTGGCCTTCAGAGAATCTTCAATGACCTTAGCAAGACGGTGGCAGAGAGCTGTGCAGGTGTGCCTGAGAATCTCCAGTGCTCAACCCACTCATGTGTGATCTCTCGTTTCCTTGAATGGCCCTCCCTCCTGGCTCCATGCTTTTGAAACAAGAATGTTCATAATTTACTGTTTGCATTTGAATCTCCTCCACTGGATGGAGAGCCCCTTGAAGTTACAGCTTGAGACTGATTCTACTGCTTCTCTGATTGGTATCTTATGTGATATCAAGTGAGTGTGTGTGCTCAGCCGCTTCAGTCATGTCCAACTCTTTGCGACTCCCTGAGCTGTAGCCCTCCAGGCTCCTCTGTCCATGGGGTTTTTCTGACAAGAATACAGGAGTCTGTTGCCATGCCCTCCTCTAGGCGATCTTTCCAATCCAGAGATTCAATCCACATCTCCTTCATCTCCTGCGTTGCAGGTGTATTCTTGACTATTGAGCCATCGGGGAAGCCATTGCTTGGGTGGATGAATGGATAGATGGATAGGTAGGTGGATAGATGGATCAGTGGGTGGCTGTATGAGTGGATAGATGGATAGATAGATGGATGAATGGATGAATCGTTGGGTGAATATGTGGACAGATGGGTGACTAGATGCGTGAGTGGAAAGATGGATAAATGAGGGGGTGGGTAGATGGACGAACAAGTGGATGGGTGAGCGGGTGAAAGTTTAGGATTAAAAGTAGTGGTTGGGGAAGTTCAGAGGAAAGACTGGGTGGAGGAGGGGAATTTTCAGAAGGGGAAACTTGAGTCCATTCTCAAGGCAAAGGTGAGGGCTCAGAGGAAAGGGAGACTCTGAGCTGGGAGGCTGGAGAGTAAGCGAACCTCACAGCTGTCTCAGCCTCTGGAGCCCCATTCTAAGCCGCTGCCTTCCCCATCTGACTCTGGACACAGGGTCTGAGGGAATCTGGGGATCACCAGAAAGGCCGGTTTTGAGACTCAGGAGCCTCAGGTACCAGCCTGGATTTTCCTCCTGTACATCGGGGCAAGTCTCTTCTTGCTCTGAGGCTTCTGGCATTTCCTGCCTGCTGCCTGAGTAATGGTCGCATCCCCAGGGAAATGACGCAGGGTTTGTTATCAGCAACCCGTATTTCTTAGAAGAGACAACAGGAAGTGGGGAGGGCTCAGGTTTTTGTTGCGGTGTGTCTGGGGGTGGAGGCAAACACTTGTCCTGGGACGCAAAGAGAGGGGATGGCTCTTGCCCATCTGTGTGGCTGCTGGACACTCCCGTGGTCACCCAGATCACAGCCAATGGGAAACTGAGTTTTGCAACTTCCCCTGGGTCATCAGTCAAAACAGGGCAGGCTGAGGATGTGCCCAACCAGCTGTCCCCTACTGTGGGGTAGAAGGCAGCCCAGTGCAACAGAAGTTCAGGATAGTCCCCTCTCTGCCCTGTACTTCAGTTTTCTCATCTGTAAAATGGGTATCATAGTGATGCCTGCCCCATGGGGTGAAAGGCAGTCACTCATAGGTGGCTAGCATCTATTCTTGCTGCTATTAATGTTGATTGTGGGATGTCCCGGCCAGGACTGGGGTCTGGGATGCCATGTCTCAGGGTCCCTGATTGGGTCTGAGCTCTGACAGGAGGTGGTTTCCCCTCAGGATCGTGGACGTCGGGGGCCAGAAGTCAGAACGCAAGAAGTGGATCCACTGCTTTGAGAATGTGATTGCCCTCATCTACCTGGCCTCGCTGAGTGAATATGACCAGTGTTTGGAGGAGAACAACCAAGAGGTGAGGTGCCACTGGGGATGTGGGGGTGCCGTCTCCCCTACTCTTCTTACTTACTCCTTGGTCCAGGGACCCTCAACTGAGCAGGAAACCCAACCGCCACTCTTGAGGGAGTCTGTGTGTGTCTGGCGTGGCTTTGAGCTTCACCGTCCACTCTTTTGTGGCCAGACCATTGAACCCCAACCCACAGATCCACACGTATTTGTGAGACAAGGACCCTGGGGACACACATACACACACGCGCACACACAGTTGGATACTCAAGCTTCAAGGCACACCACCCTCTTCCCACACCCTGAGGCACAGTGTGTGCTGTCCTGGGAGTATGGGTCATGCTGTGGGAATGGGGCTATGTCCTGTTTTTATTCAGGATTTTCATGAATTCTTCTCCTAATTCAGCTTCCCTGATGGCTCAGTGGTAAAGAATCCACCTGCAATGCAAGAGATGCAGGAGATGCAGGTTGAATTCCTGGTTTGGGAAGATTCCCTGGAGGAGGAAATGGCAACCCACTCCAGTATCCTTGCCTGGGAGATCCCATGTACAGAAGAGCCTGGCAGGCTACAGTCCATGGGGTCACAAGGAGTCAGACACGACCAAAGCAACTGAGCACCTTGAAGGTTGGGCACACTATTATCTCTGACATGCGCACTTTTCAGGGTTAAAGTCTCACATAGGCAGTTTCAGGATCCAAGGGTCAGGTGTTATAACTTGTACTTTCGGGCTGAGTCAGATAGAATCAAACTGAGTGAGATAGAATCAATTTGAGGTCATTTTGACACAGATCTTGCTTGAATCGAGCCACACACCACGTCCCACTTTGCTTGGGCTGCTGTGATGAAGTCCCACAAACTGGGAGGTAGGGCTGGTTGGGGGGAGTGGGTGGTAGAGCTGAAACAACAGAAATTTATTGTCTCATGGTCCTGGAGGCAAGAAACCCAAGGTCAAGGTGTCAGTGGGGCTGTCTCCTTCTGATCCTGTGAAAGAGAGTCTGTTCGAGGCTCTCCCAGCTTCTGGCTTGCTGACAATCTTTGGGGCCCCTTGACTGGAGAAGACACCACCCCATTTCTGCCTCCATCTTCACATGGCCATCTCCCTGTGTCCTAGTTTAAAAAATAATTTTTAAACTTTTTTGGCCATACTGCGTGGCATGTGAGATCTTAGCTTCCCAAGCAGGGATGGAACCCTTGCCCCCTGCATTGTAAACGCAGAATCTTAACCACTGGGCCACCAGGGAAGTCCTTTGATTTCCCCTTCTTATAAGGACATTGGAGTCAGAGCCCACCCTACTCCAGTGTGACCAATTCTTAACTAATTACATCTGCAAAGACCCTATTTCCAAATCAGGTCTCATTCTGAAGTTCTAGGTGGACATGAATTTGGGGGTGGGATACACTAGCCCAGCCAGGACTGGCACAAAACAATGGGCATACACAGGCAGCTGGCCCCACTGCCCTGAGTCTCAGCCCGGCGGGAACTGGATGGTTCCAGTTCAGCCCAGCCTCAAGCTGCTGGATGGTGGGCTGCCAGCCCCATCTCCACCTGTGGGGAGGGCTCCTGTTCAGGCCGAGCATCCGTCTGGATCCATGACCGGCTTGTGCCTCCCAACCCAGAACCGAATGAAGGAGAGTCTGGCCCTGTTTGGGACCATCCTGGAACTGCCCTGGTTCAAAAGCACTTCCGTCATCCTCTTCCTCAACAAAACCGACATCCTGGAGGAGAAGATCCCCACCTCCCACCTGGCTACCTACTTCCCCAGTTTCCGGGGTGAGTGGTTCTAGAACTTTCTATACCCTTCACTTCCCAAAAGCAGCTCCCAAGAGAGATGCTGGCTCAGGCCACACCTCAGCCTGGAGTCACTGGGGTTCCAAGTGCAGTCGGACAGACCTGCGTTCCAGACCCACCTCTGATCTCTGCCGGAGATCTCTGAGTCTCAGCTTCCCGCTCTGTCGAATAGGGAGAAGGTAACAGAAGCCTTAATACTGGGTGCTGAAAACAGCAGAAATTTCCCCCTCATAGTTTAGGAGGCCAGAAGTCTGAAGTCAAGATGACAGCAGTGTTGGTTCCTTCTAGAGGCTCTGGGGGAGAGCCTGTCCCAGGCCCCTCTCATTTCTGGCGGTCACCTGTAACCCTTAGCATTCCTTGGCTTGTAGTTGCGAGTCTCCAGTCTCTAGCTCTGTTACCACGTGACTCTCCCTGTTTCTGGTTGTCTCTTCTCTTCTTCCTTTGTTTTTTGCTATGCTGGGTCTTTGTTGCTGCGTGTGGGCTTTCTCTAGTTGTGGGGAGTGGGGGCTATTCTTCATTGTGGTGCACAGGCTTCTTATTGTGGTGTCTTCTCTTGTTGTGGAGCACAGGCTATAGGTGCATGGGCTTCAGTGGTTGTGGCTTATGGGACCTAGAGCTCAGGCTTAGATGGCCTGCGGCACGTGGAATCTTCCCAGACCAGGGATCGAACCCATGTCCCCCTGCATTGGCAGGTGGATTCTTATCCACTGTGCCACCAAGGATGTCCCCATCTCTTCTTTTCTTACAAGGACACCAGTCATTGGGTTTAGGACCTGACCTAACCTAGTGTGATCTCATTTCAGCTTAACCAATTACATGCGCAAAACCCGCTATTTGTAAATAAGGTCATATTCTGAGATTCTGAGTGGACATGTATTCACCAAATTGTGAGTTGTGTGTATTCATCCTAATACACAATCAACCACAGTAAGTGAAACCCTTAGCATGAGCTTAGTGTATAAGTTTTGAGGATGTCACCACAGGTGTGCGGAGAAGGCAATGGCACCCCACCCCAATACTCTTGCCTGGAAAATCCCATGAATGGAGGAGCCTGGTAGGTTGCAGTCCATGGGGTCGCTAAGAGTCAGGCATGACTGAGCGACTTCACTTTCACTTTTCACTTTCATGCACTGAAGAAGGAAATGGCACCCCACTTCAGTGTTCCTGCCTGGAGAATCCCAGGGACGGGGGAGCCTGGTGGGCTGCCGTCTATGGGGTAGCACAGAGTCGGACACAACTGAAGCGACTAAGCAGCAGCAGCAGCAGCAGTAGCAGCCACAGGTGTGACTGCTGGTCTGTCAGAGCCTGTGTGGCCAGTATCACCCAAACTTACCCACAAGACTTGAGGTCTGGGTGACAAATGTCAGCTTGTTCCAGGAAGGTGACCTGGACACTCTTCTCCATCTTCCCAGAGCATCCCCTGGGCAATTCTGGAAGTGGGACCATGACTTGGAGAGTTTGGAAACAGGGATAAAGTAGATCATTTTGAGGATGGTTTGTTTTCCTTCATGTCGCAGGGAACCCCCATAACTCATCCTTTTCTCCCAGCCACAGAGGCTGAAGCACCCTTTGCTAACTTCTGACTCACGGTCTTCTCTCCTCTCTACTAAATAATATTCATGACAATAATAATAAGCCAATAACAGCTAATACATCTAACACTAATGGAAGCACCTTCATGTACTGACTTGTTAAAAATGCTTATTAAAAAATCGCTGTTCAGTAGCACTCTTGTTTCTCACCACTATAGAGATGGGAAAACTGAAGCACAGAGAGATAGAGTCATTTGCCAAAAGTCACACAGCTAGTAACTGGCAGAGGCAGGATTCCCACCCAAGTTTCCTGGATCCAAAGCTGGCAGGTCGTAACCATTATGGGAACCTGCCTTTCTGACAAAATGATGATAGTACAGGCTCCTGAAAGCTTCTCTGATTGAACACGGAGCCCTCGACATGATTGTATTGAGTCTTCACAACACCTCAGGGAGGCGTAGGACTGTTATGATCCCTGTTTTAAACAAATGAGGAAACAAGACTCTCAGAGCTTATGTGGGTTAACAGATAAGGTAACCCAACTTGTAAGCAGTGGAGGCGGGTCTTGAGGGGTTCCAGAAGCCCTTGACTCACTATATATATATTTCACATATGTGTGTGACCGTGTGTGTATGTATATATGTATACACACACGCACACACATACGTATATGAGTGAGAGATGGCGGGGTGGAAATCCCACGTGTGCCCCATCAGGGCAGCCATCCCTCCCTTTCTCTTTCATCTCCCCAGGATGTCTTTCTCTGGACCTCCAGGTTCCGAGCCCAGCTAAGAGAGAGGGTATTTAACACGGTTCTGTGCAGTCTCAGAGACCAGCCTCATTGGTCCATTCCAGACCATGTGACCCACATGAGCCTACCCGAGGCTCCTACTGGCTGGGCCTCAGTCATGTGAATAGCTAGAAACACAAAAGATGGTGGCGGCTGCAGGCACCCTGCCGGATGGTTCCTGCAGCCCCGATGTTGTCCAGAGTGTACCTTGGTCCCAGGAGGGAGGGGCTCTCACCTGCCACACGAGCCGCGTGCTCTGACTGCCCACCCCTGTCCCCAGGCCCCAAGCAGGACGCGGAGGCAGCCAAGAAGTTCATTCTGGACATGTACACCCGCATGTACGCCGGCTGCGTGGACGGTGCCGACGGGGGAAGGAAGGGCCCGCGCTCCCGCCGCCTCTTCAGCCACTACACGTGCGCCACGGACACACAGAACATCCGCAAGGTTTTCAAGGACGTACGGGACTCGGTCCTGGCCCGTTACCTGGACGAGATCAACCTGCTCTGACCCAGGCCCGCCGCTCCGAACTCGGAACCTGCGGGCAGGGGGCGCGGGGCGGGCCGGCGCTCAGCCAGCCCAGATGCCCCATGTCGCTCCAGCCCCAAACCCAGGTGGAGGAAGGACCACGAGTGAGCCGGCGTGGAAGGCCGGTCGCTACCCCATTCCTTCTCCGCCCCTCGTCAGGACAGCCTCTGGATCCCCCTTCCCTCGACTCAGTTTACCTCCTCGGAGAGAAAACACAGTGGCCGTTTAGGAGGCCAAGGTGCAGGAAAGGGTGGAAAGAGCAAGGGATCCAGGACTTGAGTGGGTGGGGCTCTCTCAGGACCCCCACCTGTAGGTATGCCCTCTCTTAGGCAGAGACCCTTTGGGGCTTCTGTGCCGGCCCCGGGATTGGGGGAGTGGTCCTTCGTGCCGGGGACGAGGGATCTGGCGCCCCCTAGCGGCCAGGAGCCGACATCCCAGCCTGAGGTCTGGGGAGCTCAGGGACTTCGTTTTCTTGGGAGAAAGAGACTCCCTTTCAGAGCCTCTTGGCTCAAAGTGTGTCTTGCCCCGGTTTGCAGATGAAGGAAACTGGGGTCCACAGGTATCCGCCTTCCTTCCCAGGCTGGAGGCCGGGAGCACTGCATCTTACAACCTTCTGTATTTATTCCCTCACCTTCTGCATGGCCCCTTGCAGGGTGGACATTAAAGAAATGACATTCTGGAAGACCTTTGGTTTCTTACGGGCGTCCTGTTTAACACCCCACTTCCCCCAGCCCTGGCCCCCGCTGTCCTGTCGCAAGTCTCCTGTCCCGGACAGGGTAGCAACATGGCAAAGGAAGGAAAAAGTTGTACTTGTCCATCCGCTGTGCAGGGCACGGAACACCCAGATGTGTGGGACTGTGTGCACTTTAAGCCAGGAAGTGAAGTCCAGCCTCTCTCTGTGACCGTGGGGTCCTATTAGCTGGCCCTCTGTTGCTACTCAGCCAAAATTCCAGCAGCAGCCACCAGCCATCTCTAATGGAGACGATGATCACTCTACTCACCGTATCCTGGTCTCAGGGCAGCCCCATGTGGCACAAATCCCATCGCCCCCATTTTACAGATGAGGAAACTGAGGCACATGAGAAACTGAATAATTTGACTAAGACTACACACCTGAAGATGGCTGAGCCAAGACTATTATTCATTCAACAGTTTTTTTTATTTCTTTTAAAATTTTTTTCCTGCATCGCACAGTGTGGGTGATCTTAGGTACCCAACCAGGGATTGAACCTGTGCCCCCTGCAGTGGATGCCCAGAATCTTAACCAGTGGACCACCAGGGAAATCTGTTGTTTTTCAATTTTTAAAAAATTAACTATTTTTTAGAATAGTCTTAGGTTTATAGAAAAATTGTGAATACAGAGTTGCCTTATAAAACCACATCTAGAAAAAAAAAGAAAAGAAAAAAAAACACCACACTTGATTTCCCATATTATTAATATATTAATATGGTGTGGTGGCTCAGACAGTAAAGAATCCACCTGCAATGCCGGAGACATGGGTTCAATCTCCCGGTCAGGAAGATCCCCTGGAGAAGAGAATCGTAACCCACTCCAGTATTCTTATCTGGAGAATCCCATGGACAGAGGAGCCTGGCAGGCTACAGTCCATGGGGTCACACACAAACATTGAAACATTATTAACTGAAGTCTATATTCAGATTTCCTGTTTTCCCCTAATGCCCTTTTTCTGTCCTGGGACACCACCCAGGATCCCTCATGACATTTTGTCATTGCATCTCTTTAGGGTCCTCTGCACTGGGATGGTTCCTCAGACTCTCCTTGTCTTTGATGACCTTGACCATTTTGAAGAGTGCTGGTCAGCTCTGTGGCTTGTCCAGGGCTCCAGTAGTGAAGTACCCCAGACAGAGGGACTTAAAACCACAGAAATGTAATCTCTCAGAGTTCTGGAGGCAGCGTCTGAGACTAAAGTGTCAGCAGGGCTGAGCTCCCTCCAGAGGCTCCAGGGGAAGGTCCTTCCTGTCTCTTCCCCCTTCTGGTGGCTCTGTGTCCCTTGGCTTGTGGCGGCATCCCTCCAGTCTCTGCCTCTGTCCTCACATGGCTGTTTCCTCTTGATGTCTGTGTCCAATTTTGCTCTTCTTACAGAGACACCCGGAGAAGGAAATGGCTACCAACTCCAGTATTCTTGCCTGGAGAATTCCATGGACAGAGGAGCCTGGTGGGCTACAGTCCATGGGGTCACAAAGAGTCAGACACACCTGAGCGACTGAACAACAAGAGAGACACCAGTCATACTGAATTAGATGAACCTGACCTCATTCTAACTTGATTGTATCTGCAACGATCCTATTTCCAAAGAAGGTCATATTCCCAGATACTGTACCTGGGTTAGGACCTCAGCCGTCTCCTAGCAGGTGTTTTGTCAGACGTCCTTTAGTTGTTTTGTCTAATGTTTTTTCTTATGATTAGACAGGTTTATTTTTTGATCTGGAGAGCAGAGAGGTGAAGAAAATTTTGTCCCATTATAGCAAGAGTGCACGCATGTATGCTAAGTCACTTCTGTTGTGTCTGACTCTGTGCCTGCAGGCTTCTCTGTCCATGGGATTTTCCAGGCAAGAATACTGGAGTGGGCTGCCATGTCCTCCTCCAGGGGATCTTCCCGACCCAGGAATCGAACCCTCATCTCTTACATCTCCTGCATTGGCAGGCAGGTTCTTTACCACTAGCACGACCTGGGAAGCCCCTAGAGCGAAAGTACATGCTGTCAACATGAACTTGCTTCCCAGTCTGAGTCAGGTAGCCAACTCTTTTTAGAACCTTTCTAAGATGGAGGGACTTCTCAGAGCTTGACTCTGCATTCCAGTGGATGGGGTCTGGGTTCAATACCTGGTCAGGGAACTAAATCCCACATGCCACAACTAAGACCTGGTCCAGCCAAATAAGTAAACAAGTAAGTAGATAAATTTTTAAAAAATAAAACCTTTGTAAGATGGAAAATATCAAACCTCCCAATGCAGGGAGACTAGCCATTAAGACTCTCATGAGTTTGAGGCACTTTTGCTTTCATGGGCTTCTTCCTTGATAAAACAATATTTAAAATTATTTTTTACAACCCTGTTGGTAGAAAGAAGAATGAAATCCAGACTGGGTTTGTTGTTATGTATTCATGACTAGCCTATTCATTTTCCTCTTTGGATCTTAAAAGGGAATGAAAATTAACACATCTCATGGACCCCTGAAAGTGCTGTGAGCCCTGAGCCTGAAGGCTAAGTTGACCTTGAACCTAGTACACAAACCCCGTCATCTCACAAATGATAGTTCTTCATGCCTGTTCCATGCATATCTCTCCATCCTCCCTCCCTGCCCCGTCTGCCTCTTGAAAGTGAAAGTCAGAGTGAGTTGCTATTCCCTTCTCCAGGGGATCTTCCTGACCCAGGGATCGAACCCTCATGTCCTGCATCTCCTGCACTGCAGGCGAATTCTTTACTGTCTGAGTCACCAGAGAAATCTGCCTCTTGGTTACTTTCATTTTCCCTGATACAGTACCATTTCATTCACATCTTTCTAGAATATAAAGACCTTTCTAGGGACTCTGAGCTTCCAATGGAGAGGGCTCGGGTTCCACCCCCTGTGGGGGAAGTAAGATCACACATGCCTCTCATGGCACTGCCAAAAACAAGCAAAAAGACAATACCAATAAAGCTTAAAAGCACATCAAAATTGTAAAAAACAAAAGACAAAACTCACTTCTAAAAAGAATAAGTATAATGCAACATGAACACGTCTAAAAAAGTTAGCAACGATTCCTGTGTATTTAATATCTAGTAAGTACTCACATTTCCCCATGTGTCTTGTAAATGTCTTTTCTAAAGCCTTTTTTTTTTTTTTTTTGGCTACACTGTATGGCTTGTGGGATCTTAATTTCCCCACCAGGGACTGAACGAGGGCCCTTGGTAGTAAAAGCTCGGAGGTCTAACCACTGGACCACCAAGGGATTCCCTAAAGCTTTTCATTTTGTAATCATTTTAGATTTACAGAAAAGTTGCAGCAATAGTGCAGAGTTCCAGAACACCCTTCACCCAGCTTCCTCTGATGTGAACCTCTTAGGTAACATGCTATGAACCAGGTCATAGAAGCTGGGGAATTCATATCAACCATCCTGCTATTATCTAACCTCTAGACTTGCTAGAATTTGGTCAGTTTTTCCCCTCTTCTGCCCTCTGTCTGGGCCGGGATTCCACACTGCACCTCCTGATCTTCGTCTCCTTCCTGGCTGATGGTTCCTCAGCCTTTGTCATGGCCTGTTTAAAGAATTCTGCCTGGTTATTTTGTAGAACAGTCCCACAATTTGGGTTTGTCTGAAGATTAACGCCATGCATTTTGGGGAAGAGTCCTGCAGGGTTGCTCTCAGACAGGTGGGTCCCTGGTGGGAAAATGTCTCATCACAGATGATGAAATGCTATCTGTGTTTTTTTTTTTTTCACAGTTGGTTCATTTGAGTCACGACCTAAACAAAGCCTACATGTGGCATTTGGTAGCTGTTCAGTTCAGTCACTCAGTCGTATCTGACTCATTGGGACCCCGTGGACTGTAGCCTGCCAGGCTCCTCTGTCTCCTTGGAATTTTCTAGGCAAGAACACTGGAGTGGGTTGCCATTTCCTTCTTCAGGGGATCTTCCCGACTCAGGGATCGAGCCCATGTCTCTTGCATCTCCTGCACTGGCAGGTGGATTCTTTACCACTGCACCACCTGGGAAACCTCTTGGTTTTTCTATCTCTTAAGAAGCTTTTCACCTATAACTATCACTCAACCTTTTTTTTTTTTTTTTTTTGCTATTTAGTTGTTGAATAAATGAGATCATTTGTCTGGTAGAGTTTCTCAGCTTCCTAACTGGTGGACTGCTTTCCAGGTGTGTTTCAATGGGCTCCTCTGTGCCCTGTAATCCCTGTGAATGACCTGCCTAGATACATGAACAGACTTTCTAGGTGGTGTGAGCTCCAGCAGATGACACATAGCATCTCGTTGGTTCTCTCTGTGTATCTGTGTCTCTCCATGAGATGTGTAACCGCACAACAGCCAGTTGGTTCTGTCTGCGTGTATATCCCTCTCTCTTCTCATTAAAATTGGCCAGTGGGTTCAGGGGGCATCAGTCTGACTCATCCATTGTGACTCTCCCATTGAGAAATTTCTCTCTCCTAATAATCTTAGTGGCCACCGATGATCATCACTTACATACATCATTCAGGGTTGCAAAAATGGTTGCTTCGAATACTTGCAATTTCTTCTGCATTTATTGCCTGGAATTTTTCTATTCAACAACCCAGCTCACCCAAAAGAACTGAAAGCAAGGTCTTGAAGAGATATTTGTACACCCATGTTCACAGCAGCATTATTTCTAATAGCCAAGAGGAGGAAGCAATCCAAATGTCCATTGAGAGATGGATGGTTAAACAAATATGGTCCATCCATACAATGAAATGTGATTTAGCCTCAACGAGGAAGGAGATCCTGACACACGCTACAACATGCATGAACCTTGGGGACCTTATGATCAGTGAAGTAATACAGACACAGAAGGATACACACTGGCTGATTTCACTCACAGGAGGTCCCTAGAGGAGTCAGATCCACAGAGACAGGAAGTAGATGGTGGGGCCAGAGACTGGGGGAGGGGGAGAGGGAATCAATGTTTCATGGGGGCAGAGTTTCCATTTGGGAAGATGAGAAAGCTCTGGAGATGGTAGTGGTGGTGGCTGCAAGACAATATGAATGTTTTTAAAGCCACTTTGTGCACTTAAAAATGGTTAAAGTGATAATTAATGCCACATGTATTTTACCACGATTAAAAAAAATTTAATGTAGTATGATCAAAATATCTTTCCCCTATCAAGTAATTGGTTATCCAAAAATAAAAGCTGTGCAGGAAAGAAAAGGTTAATGTCTGATTCTTGATTTTCTTTAGCAGTTTTCATAATGAGTTAGTTCCTTAATAACCACGAAAGATCACCAAAGGTTTTATTTTCTCCTTCGTGTCACTATGAACTCATGGATGTAACATTAGATGTGTTTCTACACACCGTACATCTTATTCTTCTCTTCGTTGTTCAGTTGCTTAGTCATGTCCGACTCATTGTGACCCCATGGACTGCAGCATGCCAGGCTTCCCTGTCCTTCACTATCTCCCAGAGTTTGCTCAAACTCATGTCCGTTGAGTCAGTGATGCCATCCAACCATCTCATCCTCTGTCCTCCCCTTCTCCTCCTGCCCTCAATCTTTCCCAGCATCAGGGTCTTTTCCAATGAGTCGGCTCCTCGCATCAGGTGGCTAAAGGATTGTAGCTTTAGCTTCAGCATCAGTCATTCTAAAGAATATTCAGAGTTGATTTCCTTCAGGATTAACTGGTTTGATTTCCTTGCTGTCCAAGACACTCGACAGTCTTCTCAAGCACCACAGTTCTAAAGCATCAATTCTTCGGTGCTCAGCCTTCTTTATGGTCCAGCTCTCACATCCATACATGACTGCTGGAAAATCTATAGCTTTGACAATATGGACATTTTTCTGCAAGGTGATATCTCTGCTATTTTCCTTCTCCGGCCAATGGTAGCCTCTGCGAGTTGGCCCCTAATTCCTGTGATATGACGCAGTGGTCTTAAGAGCTCATAGTTCTGGCATAGTGAGACGCTTTCTGATCATCTCATACTTCACATCTCCAGCCTTGGATCCAGTAGTTTCCACAAGGAGCCCTGTTTCCTTTTTTTTCTAAAAAAAAATTAACGTATTAATTTTGTTCACTTGGCTATACTGGGTCTTAAGTTAGTTGCAGCATGTGGGATCCAGTTCCCTGACAAAGGATCGAGCCTGGGCTCCCTGAGATAAGCACGGAGTCTTATCCACTGGGCCAGCAGGGAAGTCCTCCTGCTTCCTCTTGGTATTTAGAGACCATCACCTGACCACAAAGTTAAGAAATCCACATTTTCTTCACTTATCTTTTGACTCTGAAAATATTTCGGGCCTACAGAAGTTGCAAGATGATGATAATGAATCCCCATAAAGGCTTCCTCTAGGTCAGCATGGCTCACTACCTACTCTAAGCCTGCTTTGTAAATAAAGTTTTATTGGCATATGACCACACCCATCCATTTACACATCGTTGGGGGCAGCTTTCTTCATGACAGCCGAGTCACTGTGACAGAGACTGTCTGGCCCTCAACACCAAAGATTGTTAGTTTGGCTCTTTGCAGAAAAAGTCTGCCCACCCCTGAGCTAGAGCTTCTCACAGTTAATCTTTTGCTTTACATTTCTCTATAATCATAATCTAAAAGTATATAATCTATTCCCTAAAGAATATGCACAAAATAATTTTGTTCTTTTTCTTAATCTTTTCTAAATAATTTGACAGTAAGCTGGCGGCATCATGCACTTTGACTCAAAAACAAAACAAAAACCCATGTATTTCCTGCAAACAAAAAAACACCTCTTGTTAAGTAACCAGGATGGTCAAATTCAGGAAATTTAGCACTGAGACAATAATAGAATCTAATATACAGCCCGTATGAAAGTGTCACAAGTTGTTTTAATATTGTCTTACATAGCAACGCTCCCCTCCCCACCCCTCACTCTCCACCAGTGGTGTATTCAGTCGGGGATCACTTATTGCACATAATTCCATGTATCCATGATCTCCTTTCTTCTGAGTCAGCTTCAGGCTTTTCGTTGTTGCTGTTGTTGTCTCTTAATACCTTTCAGGATTCCCAGGTGGCTCAGTGGTAAAGAATCTGTCTCCAATGCAGGAGATGAGGAGATGTGAGTTTGATTTCTGAGTGGGGAAGATCCCCTGGAGGAGGAAATGGCAACCCACTTCAGTATTCTTGCCTGAGAAATCCCAGGGAGAGAGGAGCCTAGTGGACTACGATCCATGGGGTCTCAAAAGAGTTGGACAGGACTGACGTGACTTAGCGTGTGTGTGTGCACGCACACACACACACACACACACACACTTTACAGCTGTTACGACCTTGTCCCTCAGTGTGGGTTTGTCTGATGGCTCCCATGATCAAATGCAGGTGGTCTGTGTTTGGCAGGAATATCCCAGAAGCAATGTGTCCTCCTCGTGCCTCATATCAGGAGGCCCACAAAAGCCCATTTTGTCCTCATTCCCAGTGTGTTCACCTGGATGGCTTGGTTAAGAAGCTATTCACTTCTTAGTAAGGCATTTGTAATTGCTAAGAAGCTATTCACTTCTTAGTAAGGGTTCCAAGTAAGGCATTTGTAATTGCTAAGTCATCTGTAGGAACATACTTTGAGATTACTTCTTCTCTTCAAACTGCCACCCAATCACTTTAACATCCACTGATGCATTTATTTTTTACTGTGCTGGGTCTTTGTTGCTGAGCACAGGCTTTCTCTAGGTGCGGCGAGCAGGGGCTACGCTCTACTTGCAGTGCTGGGCTTCTCATTGCAGTGACTTCTCTTATTGTGGAGCACAGGATCTGGGGCACTTGGACTTCGAAAGCTGTGGCTCCCTAGCTCTAGAGCCCAAATTCAATAGGAGTGGTGCACGGGCTTAGCTGCTCCTCAGCATATGGGATCCTCCCGGACCAGGGATCAAACTGGTATCTCCTGCACTAGCAGGCAGATTCTTTACCTCTGAGCCACCAGGGAAGCTCTCCACTGATCAGTCTTGTTTGGGTCCATTATTGCTGGGCTAATGAGCAAATGGTGATCTT